GAATGTTAAATATTTTTTTTGGATTTTAATTTGGATTTTATTCGGAGTTTCTACCGCCGTTTAGCAGCTTGTACATCATTTTTTCTCAACACAGTAAAAACAAACATGAACAAACAACAATATCCATCGCTTAAAACACGCAGTGCACTCAATTTTTCAACTTTCCTTTCGCAAATATAAACAATTAACAACGCCATTGACGTCAACATTGATTCCGGCATCACTGCAAGCCAGATTGATGTGATCCCTCTGTCCTTTTTATTCCACGATTGCTACTGTCAAATTGACTAATCAGAAACTGGCTCGGATTTGACAGCAAATTGGTTCGAAATAGCTACCTGAATGTCAAGTCCTGTCCCAGCCCAGAAGAGCTGGTTTAGGACCATGGTTTACTAATGATTGACGGTCGTTCTACGTGGTCGGTCTTCCACCGAAGATGGTAGGATGGTGTAGCAACGGGGCTCGTCCGTTGCAGGCATCCTTGGAGACGGCTGCTTCCAATGTATAGTCCCAACTGGAGTCCGTGTCGTGCAACCGGAATAGATGTAGCAGCCGTTCAAGGCATCGCGGGCTCTGGTCGCGGATTCAATGCTGTCAAACTCAACCATAACTTGGACGCCATTCTTCTTGATGGTGGCAGATGGTGTGTAGAACGTCCACTGTAATAGGATAGACTGGATTGATGATGATGAACAGCAGAATATGGTTGGGCCGGGTTGCTACCTCGCGCTTTCGCCAAGACTGATCTGTGACGTTGATGTTGTTGTTGTTCCGGCTATTGAGCGTCTCGATCATCTCCTGGCCGGTACAGAGGCGCTTGATGTGTGGCCCGTCGTGGCCACCGCCGGCACCGTTTCCATTGAACGCCATGATAATTGAAATTGAGCTTTATCTACTAGCACACACGGGAAAGCAAAGAAGATGGAAGGATTGAGAAAATGTCGCGACACCTAACTTTACTTATCACTCGGGACAGCCTACGATAATAACCGCTGTTGAAAAACCTTGAAAAACTTTTCCTCACTCAACGTAGACTCCTAAAAACTCCTAAACCTTGCGGGTTAGCTATAGAACGACACACCATCAAACTGCGAATTTGGATCGCGCTTCAGGGAAATTTTCACTTCTGACTCGATATTCCGAGAATCGAACAGTGTGTAACAAGTGTAAGCGTTGCGTCGAAGAATGGTGAGATTAATCGCGTATAGTTTTCGTATATTTAGTTATTAAATTCCAAGAAAAAGTTTAAATGTTCGTAAAAGGTAAAACGTCCCACGAATCCTCACGAACGCAGCCAGTAGGAGACACTTCACTATAAACTGTAGAACAATGCCACTAGCCACCACCAGAGCACGCTGTGTGCAGTCATGAATGGACGTCCATAGGGGTGGCGTAATCGGGCCATTGCGTGGAGAATTCGTGGCACGTACGACGGTTCAACGGTCACGGTTCGGGGTCATCGTCCACCAAGAGGCACAGTCATAAGCCTGGTGATCATTATAGACTACGGTCACATAGCGAAAGTCAAAGCTAAACATTAATAGTTTGAAGGTGAAAACTAAAGCTAAAGTGCTAAAGTGAGCTAAGTTGGAAGTTTGAAGAAGTTGTAGAGGAAGTTGCCACATACCATTGGACAGCCAGGTAATTACCATCGCCAAGAAAACCCCGAACTAGAGTCGGTGTATAATGAGTCACGCCAAGAGTGATGCCAAGTCTACCTATTGAACTGTCAAACCGGCTACCTATCGTGCAAAGTAAACAAACATTACGATGCTATGAAAGGTCCACGAAAGGTATTGCAATAAAATATAAAATATAATCGAAGAAATGATCATAAACACGCAGTGATCTTTAAATTGTCATGGGATACGTTTGGTAGCGATCATTAATGAGAATTTCTACTATTTTTTGTTGAGATGATTGGACAAAATCACTGATATAATGATTTACAACAGCCGCTATTTTTTTGCTCGCTGGAAGTAATTTGAAGTTGATGTAGCAGTCCTCTGTTGCCAAGTGAAAAGAAATGGAATCTTTCGAAAACCGTGATGCGAGTTCAACTGTTTTTCTCTTGGCGTGACTCATTATACACCGACTCTACCCCGAACCAGATCCAACCGTTGTCAGGTCGATAACCGCCATTTCGAATTCTCCTTCGCGCCCACAGGACCTCGCGGTTTCACTGTTACATTTGTGAATACAACGTATTTTTTCCGGAGTCGACCACGCCAGTGTGTCCGAATCGCAGTTCGAGAATCTGATCCCTCAGTTACAGTGTACGCCTCCAATCCAGGCAAGTCAACTTACCCTTGTGGTTCGTTGAAACCTCCCGTCACCATACTCGAGGGGCGTACGGGACAGGTAGAGGCGTCCACCCCTGGCCCAAGAAGGTGATGCGGTACCAGAGGAAGGAGAGGAACGACGACGACGACGACGGCAGTGGCAGGTGAAGGGGCCCCGAAGACAAAATAAGAGTAGTGTTAGCACAAGGTAGGTGAAGTGAGTGTCGTCAAAACGAATAAAGTGGGAGTTTGTCTTAAGTGAACATTGAGTGTTTTCTTGGTTCGCGGAATAATCACGAGCGTGTGCCGACCCTGAGGCTTGGAGACGGGGGTCTCATCAGTGCTGGGAGTAACACCGCACTGGCACGTTACAAGTGAATGACTCTGAATAAAACTGTCCGCGGCCTAGGTGAAACTCCACCCGCCAGGTTCGTATTTCGGAACGTAAATCCCGGGTCATCTCAGGTTTCGAAAAACAAAACAAAAACAAGAGCTGTTAAAATAACAAGGCATTATTCACAAGCAAACAAAAGTCAGTTCAATGACTTCTCGACACTGCCGGCACAGCTGCGGCACACTGAGTTGGCGCAAAATAAGTGTGTAGAATGACCACCCCTTGGTTCAAGCGTAACAACGTAATCCGGATTTTTTTTGTATTCATCAGAACAACTTTTCCAAAGAAAACAACCTTCTATGTAGCAGAGCAGTCAAGTTAAAGCATGCAAGCAGAAGTCAAAGAAGTACATCGGCGCCGACAGATATGAGAATTCTGATCTAAGCTGTCCTTTGTACTGGAATCCAATAGACGATATCAATAGAAACTAAGCGATCGTTTCAGCCTCTGGTGTGTAATCGGGGAACCCTAAAAAGAATGATGAGGGCTGAAATTGTCGCCGTGAAGCATTGGAAGGGAAAATATGTTCACGTTTTCTGTTTAAAGCATCCACCACAGGTGCTAGAAGTCGTCATCCGGCAGTAATCCGGCAGGTGCATCCATTTATATTTGATGAGAAAAATTAAGGTTTATAAAATGGTCCCAACGGTTGTGATCTCTCGGATTTTTACTGTATGGTTATTTGAGCTGTAAATCAGTTCAGATCTGTTGATAATCGAAAAATAAGACCACTCCCAATAAAAATTTGCAAGTTGTGCAATAAAATATGCATTATTTTGAATTTTGAAAACCTTCATTATACTGTAAACAAACGGATTGGATGACATTTTCTCTCATCATCGCCTAGCGCACTCTACATTGGTGGTGCATCGAAACTGCCTATAGTCGAAACACTGAAAGCGAAACTAACTCAGAGAGTGAGTCATTTTTACTCAGTTGTGAGTTACTTTTACTCATTGGTATGGAGAAAATTCTAAAAGCATAGGTCACTCATCGCATGAAATTTAGACGCTTTTAGAAATGTATCCATACGAATGAATAAAAGTAACTCACTCCCTGAATAATATTCGCTTTCAGTGAATGTAGACTGCTTAAACAAGCCTATTGAATCAACCGGGTAAGGTGAGTGAATTCTGAACTGAGAGGCCAATTATGCGATAGGTTTTGTTCATTCGAATAACTTCACTGAATACAGAAACCCGCTTTCTGGTCGTGCTGTCATGTTATGGAGTTTGATGAAAATTGCACACTGAGCTAGACCATCCAATAGGCCTTATGCATCAGAATCACTTTTGTTCTAGCCAAGATGGCAAGTTACCCAGAAAAATACTCATTTGTATGGATAACGTTCTAAAAGCGTTGGTTACTCTTGCGCAACGAACATATGCATTTTTCAACTAGTTTAGTTGGGGGGGGGGGGGGGGTTGTTTTGTTTTAATTGGAAAATGTGATAACCTACCTAGCTACGAGTATCACTTAACCTAACGTGCTAGATCACGTATGATTGATTGATTGATTTATCTTTATTTAGGAGGCTTTCAGCCTGAGGCTGGTTCGCCTCCAACGATCACGTATGATCTGATGATCTGATGTCAGACAGGTGTCTCTAAACCTTTCCAGGATGAATACTCTCCGTTCTTCTAATGTTTGAATTCCAGCCAGGAGGGGGATCTCAGAATTTTGAGTCCGCGGAGGACTGTTTAGGATCATCCTAAGGATCTTGTTCTGGATCTTTTGCCTTTTTATGTGATGACATTTGGAACAACTCTCCCAGATTGACATACCATATTCGATAACAGGTAGGTAATTTAACCTAACGATAGAATCAAAGAACAATGATTAAAACAAAGACAGAATTAGCCAAGGTCCAAGGTCACGCTTTTATCGAGCGCAAAATTCCTTCTAAAGACTCGCGTAGGTTAAGCATTTGCGCTCTAGCCTGACCTAGTGAAAAACAACCGCATTCTGCGCATATTGAACACTCAACAATGCACCCTTATCAGACATACTCCAACCCTCCCCGCACACCCCACGCAATTTCCACGCCACAACGCAGAGAAAAAGTAGCAAATATTGCGCACTAGCTAATCGCCAAGCAACCATAAATAAAAGTCACGTTCATTTGTTTGCTTCATCGCGACCTCTCCAAATCAGTCAAGATCCAAAGCTTCTTTGTTCGATAATCATCATTTTGTTTGTTATACACTTCATAGCAGCTTCTACGACTGCCTAAGCAGATGGGGTTTAATGGAATTAAATGCAATCGTAATTTCCCCGGCCTAATGAAAAGGAGAAAATGGAAAAAAACAAAAATGGGTACTTACTCGTACAAGTGCGCAATGGTTTTGGCCAGTCCATTGCCCGAGCCGCACGGAATGATTCCGATCGTCAATTCGTCGATCGCCGTCTGCCAGTCTTCCCGTTCGAACAGTCCGTTCAACGCTTCGTAGAAGATGCCATCCCCTCCGACGACCACTATGCCCCGCCAGAGGTAGATGTCCCTGTTCCGGACAAACTCCCTGGCCCAGTCAGACTTTTTCGTTATGTGCAAATCGTAGGAGATTTCTGCCTCCGCCAGAACAGGCGCCACCCGCTGTTGGAACATTTCGCGTGCCTTGCCGGAGCCGGATTTCGGATTGATGATCACCAGCAGTTTACGCGTTTCCTTCGGCTGATATGTCGGCCGGATGGAAGTTTCCCCAGCTACCAGATACTTGATGGCCGCTCGCCATTTTTGCGCTTCCTTATTGTTGTCCTCGTACTTGTCGAAGGATCGAAACCGCAGCGTGATGGTTGTGCGTTCCCGAAATCCACCCCGGCGATTCCGCTTCATGATGTAGGCATAGATGTACAGATAAGCGCTAACGTCCGATTCATCCTGCTCGCCGGAGTTCTCCTCGACCACCTTGAGCTGAGCGGTGCCCGAGATGGAGGTGCACGCACAGGCCGAGCTTCCCTTCGCTTTCCGCTTACTGCGCAGGCAACGGCAACCGATGATATCCTTCAGCGGGATCGTCTGTTCCTTGGTCGAACCATTGCTTTGCTTCTTCAGACTGAGCCCCTTGTCCGTTAGTCGCACTTCGAAGACGGTATTTTTCTTGGAACTAATGTAGAACGTCTCCGTCAGGTAGACCACATGCGGCGGACTGCCGCAGTCCGTTCCCTTGCTGAGGGCAGGCGATGGATTGACTATCTCCTCCGAGCCGAGCCCGATCTTCGGTTTGTCCACCATTCTGCTGATACTGAAGCTGCTGCTACCACCACCGGTTCAATCGAGCACGCCACTTTCGCCGGGTGCCGCATTAATTTGTCACTACGTATTGCAACCTTTTCAACGGCCTAATCTTCGTGAATGGTTAACACTGGTGTCCTTGTCGCTCCGGCGATCAGGTTTTAACATTTATTATTTCTGCAAAAAAAAGAATCGTTCTTCGCATTGATGACGCTGGTTTGCTTTTTGTTCTGTTACTGTACAAGGGGTTTCACTGGATTGAAGCGAAGACGACATGTTGTCTTCGGTTAAACCCGGTTTCCCGTGAAATGCTGCTACACAGTAGATTCCAAATTTTTATAGTTTAATCAAGAAGGATTATGTAAATCGATTGATGTATCAAAGTATCACTTATAAGATAACACTGCAGTCGACCGTAAAGTTTCTACGCTTTATCCGGGATTGCACTCAGCAGACCCATTTTTTCACATTCTCTTAGTATCTAGAGTCACTTGCTCACTGAATTGAAATTCGTTTAGCAATCTCCCAGCACCTTGAGGATGGCTGTTGAGTTTCTGGGACGTTCGGACTGCGACTGAATGCAGTTTTGAGCTAACATATTTTAAGGCTAAGCCAAACATTCTAAACATGGCTTGAACAAAATGTAAGAACTCAAGTCTAACTTACGGGCAAAATATCCCATCGGATACACAGAGCAATATTGTAATTTTTAAAATCGAACCCCATCACATCAAACACGTCAGAAATAGAAACAAATCCAAATTCCAACAGGCAACTAGCGCGGCAACTACACCCACAAACACCCAGGGAGCGAAAGAATATGTAAACATTCACTCACGGGAGTACCAAAGATATAACTACATGCCATACACATTTGCACTACACCCTTTGCCCATCTGGCTCCATTTAGTTCCGATTGCCTGCCAGGCCAGGTGCCACACCGCCGCCGCTCGGAACTGAATGCAAAGGCCACGCGGTTATTCAACATTGTGCTTGATTTACGATCCCCGGCACCCCCACCGCCGCCCTCTAACCTTCGTGGCTTCCCGAAAACATCCTTCCGCAGCCCAACCAATCGCCAAGTACCTTCTACTGGTGATACTACAAAAACCGCAAACGTGTTGCGTGACCGTAGATCGTACTGGTCGTGTCCTCCCACGAGCTTTTACTCATTTCTCGCGTAACATTTGAATAGGGCCTATGATCAAAATGTAAACAAACCGATTTTTGAAACCATTCTGTAGCACTGGTCATTAGCTACCAGTCGTATAGGAATGTTCCGCATTATCGATAAAAATCATTAAAAATAACTTGATTTTAAAAACGGCCGATCCACGAAATTTTTCCAATCATTCATGCTAAAACGGCCTAACCTCGGGCCTAACATATATTTTTTTCGTTCGATGAGGTTCCATTCATAAGCCTAGCGACGTAGAAGGGCCGATGATTGAAAAATTTCAAATCAAAGCTAGGCCCTACTGCTTGAGGCAGGGCCGATGATTTATTTGACGTTAAGAAAAGGCTTAGCAAAGGGCCTACAATTTATGATGACAAGCACAACGGCTTAACAAAAAGGGCCTAACCATTTAAAGATTCACAAAAAGGCTTATTACTGTGATATTAATTTTTTATCGATTTTCATGTATTTTTGAAAACTTTTCGCATGTTTTGGATGTTGTGTACTGAGATATAGTTACTATTGTTATGGTGAACAATATAAATGCCTAAAATACTTCAATTTATTTATATAGGAATTAAATACTGGCGGAAAAATTTACAATTCATTTTCTGGATTGTTTACATTTTGGACATAGGCCCTTTTCAAATGTTACGCGAGATTTGTTTGTAGGTATGTTGTTGTTGTTGTTGTTGCAGGTTTCCTACCATTGGACAGTGGTTTAGAAGCGCTAAATCGTGCGTTTTATTAATTGCGCGAAAAATCGTTTGGACACACAATGTCACTGGAGAAGTTTGTGTTCGCGATTAGCTCGTTCTCTTGAACCTAACTTTTTCAACATTAATCCACCTAGCAGGGATATAGAAAAAATGTTTTTTTTTTAATCGAGATGGTATCTTTGGCAAAGTTTTAGAGATATGTAAGGTGTTTGAATGGACTTCTGAAAATCAACGTTTTGTCAATAACTTTTCTGGTAGCCACTGAATTTAAGAAAATAAATTCCCGGTTTTAATCTGGGTGCAGAACGTATTTTTCCCGGTTTCATATAAAAAGCTAAATATGGCTAAAAATAATAATACCGGCATGGCTGAATTCAGCAATTGAACAACACTATAACTTTCAACTATGTATTTTGAAATTCGCTTCTTCTGAACAGGAAATCGCTTTGGTTGAATCTATGGTTGCCTCCGGTCTGCATCAGCTCAACAGCCTGCTTAATTCGAATGGTCGGTTTGCAAACGAACCAAACCTTGTTGAACTCATCGAACCTCCGTCATCGCTCCTCAGAATCGACAGCCATCTTAAGACGTTTGTTTTTCGCATCGACGTGAACGACTCCTACATGCAACTTGCCAGTGACTCAAACATCGTCAATGATTTTGATTTTCGACGTTGCAGCTTTCCAGAATTGAACATCGCTATTATGAACGTCGATTGGATTGAAATATTTCGTGCAACAAATACGGATGAAACGGGAACTGGAGGAACTTGTTCAACGTAGACGAGGTAGACCTTATTCGTTCAAGCATCCGCGGTAGACATCTGAGTTACAGCAACAATCAATACGAAACTAACGATTTTAAATTGACTCACTACTTGACTAGCCTATTGGTCCCAAGCGAATCGATTAACGTACCCCACTAGTACTAGTCGAAATTCTAGTACTACCCTATGTTTGTTTTGATTCTCTATGAAGGTTTGACAGATAAAATGAGGGGCTCGTGGATTTTCCTATGTTTCGAGGGGTACATCGATTAGCTTGGGACCGAAGATAGTACCAGAGCTGAGCCAAAAAGTTGAGCTCGTTTCTTCGGGACCTTCTGGTCTTAGAGTTGCCTCTATGGTTACAGCATCTCCGCAAAGTCGTGCGTAAAGCTAGAAAACGCTATTTTAGAGCTCGAGCTGCTGAGAACCAGATCAATCTACATTCGCTCGAACCAGATTACAGCGACTGCTTGACTGCGGCATTCCGTAGCTACAACACGGGTAACCCTTCCAACGTAACGGTAGCGGGGCAAACAGTGGAGAAGGTCGAAAGTTTCCAATATATTGGCAGCCAAATAGCGTCGGACGGCGGGACCAAGAGCGACATAGGTGCACGAATCTAGACGGAATTTTCAACTCGAACGTGAAATCTGTGTTGTTATACGCCAGCGAGACGTGGTGTGTATCAACGAAAAACACTCAGAAGCTGCTGGTCTTCATCAACCGATGCCTGCGGTATATAATTCGTGCCTGGTGGCCTCTCAATCGGATCTCGAATGCCGAGCTCCATCGTCGATGTCATCAGAAGCCGATAGCAACAGAAATTCGAAAGCGAAAGTGGAGGTGGGTCGGCCACACACTTCGACGGGGCGGAAACGAATTCTGCAAGCAAGCGCTGGATTGGAATCCAGTAGGACATCGCAGCAGAGGCAGACCCAAGGGCTCATGGCGGCGGAGCCTCAACAAGGAAATAAAGCAGTTCGATAGGAATCTGACCTGGGTCAAGCCAAAGCGGGCAGCCGCCCAGGATCGAAGTCTTTCACGTTGGCCCTTTGCACCTCCGGTGGTGTACAGGACCCTTAAGTAAGTAAAGTAAGTGCCAGATAATCAGTTCAAGCAGTAACCGGAATGTTAATATAATTGATAGCGAAGTGCAACCATCTCGATATAGATCTACAAAAAGGCTTGCTTAATCACTTAATGTTTCCAGCAAGTTCATGATCGGTTTCTTACCATCGAACTTAACGCTAGGAGCAGAAATTCACGCAGTTATACATCTTACATATGAAACAATTGTCTTTAATCCCATTATATTGTTTCTCTCTTGAGCACATTTTGAGGTCCAGCTCCGCAAGAAAATTATTCCGGATAATACGATAATACGCTACGAAACGCTAATTCATGACCGGATTTCTCCGGTGGGAAATCGTAAAAAACAGCGCTTTCATCTCCAAAATTGTGTATGTTGATTCCAACTTCACTGAGAAGCCAATTTTCCGAGCTAACCAGGTTTACAATGAAGACCTAGAATACTCAAACTTTACTATTCTCGCATTTACTTAAAGGCGCTCAGATAATTGATGTTTGTGGGAGTGTGCCAACATCCAGTAGGAACTGAATTTACATTTGGCCCTAGATCATCGAAATATCTTTTTTATTTGAGTAATTTTTGCTCAACTTGCAAAAATACAGCATCAAGCACTGAGAAACCGCAAGTTCACAACTCTATTTAAAATTTGAAATGAACAACCATCATTAAACTACACCGAGTAATTAAGCTGTTTGAAACTAGCGAAGTGTGTCATACTTTTTAATACGATTCTGGGATCAGGAAATATTTCCCTGAATTTGAATGAAATTCCCTGATATTCCCTGATTGTCCAGGTGCAAAAATGAATTCCCTGATATTCCCTGATTGTCCAGGTGCAAAAATGAATTCCCTGATATTCCCTGATTTTCCAGGTTGTCGACGCCCTGTCCAAGGGAATAATGATAATAATAATACTTTCGAACAAAAGCTCGCACAAATGCTTTGCAAAATTTCAAGCTACATAATTTAAAGATAAGTTTAAGGGAATTCCCAAGAAAATATCAATGAATTTGCGAAAGAGAGCTCCAAAGCGAAGAATTCACAGGAAATGTTGAGCATATTTCCAAATGTCCTTATAATTTTTGAGTTTGAGGAGATCCCCAAGAAATTTATAAAGGAAATTCTAAAAAAGGTTCAAGAGCTTTTCAAAGATATTTTCGAGAAAACTCCAAGAGCTTCTATCGAGGGCATTTGGAGAAGAATTTCAACGGAGCTCTGACAAAAATTCTCATGGAATTCTGAAGTACAATTCATAGGATTTCTTTTCTTTTTTTTTAAATGTCTACATTCCAAGGGATATCCTGACTGATTACCCGAGCAAAGTTTGTTAAAAAAATGAAAGTAAATCGATATTAAAGTTTGCAGTTCCTATCTTAATGAAAACTCATTTTGTTTTCAATTGTCGCGACATAAGTCTGATATCAT